ATCATTAAATATATATATATATATGTATATATATGAGGGGGTCTTCAAAAATGTTCATGGAAATCTGTATTATGAAAAAACTGCATAAATTTCAAAATATTTTGCAACAAAATAAACTTACCTTTTGATTTAATTTTCCATGAACTTTTTGAACATATACATGTTTTGTTAATCAGGTTAAGGAAATTGTGTAAAATTCCTAGTTTGTGAATTTCTTTCATGAATGTATTCTGAATTTTATGAGATGCTTTCACTGATCACATGAGCTTTTCTTCCCTTTGATCTTTTATTGCGGGGAATTAAATTGTGAATATTAAGCTATCCTTGCTTTCCTAGGATACACTTGGCTTGGTCATTATACATTTTATAAAATGAGGATGACTGCAATTATCCCCTCATAAGATCCTGGGGGACAATTTTATAAGTTAACAGATCAGTACCTGGGGGCCAGCACCGGGGCGTACAGGTTAAGTTGCTTGGGTGCCAGCCTTCTATATGGGCACCAGTTCGAGACCTGGCTGCTCGGTTTCCAATCCAGCTCCCTGCTAATGCACCTGGGAAAAACAGCAGAAGATGATGTAAATCCCTGGGCCCCAGCACCCATATGGCAGACCCAGAGGAAGCCCTTGGCTCCTGGCTCCTGGCTCCTGAAAGGCCAAACTTGAACTGTTGCAGCCATTTGGGTAGTAAACCAGAGGATGGAAGACCTCTCTCTGTCTCTCTTTCTCTATCTCTCTGTAACTCTGCCCTTCAAATAAATAAATAAATAAATCTTTTAAAAAATCAGTACCTGGAATATAATAAGCACTCAATACATGTGAAGTATTTTTATTGAGCATTGTTAGAGTCATTTTGCTAAAAATCTTCATTTATGATTTGTGCATCTATGTTTGTAACAAAGTTGAGTCTGTGTTTTCCTGTCTCATACTGCCCTTATCTGGTGTTGATTATCATGGCCATACTAGCCTTAGTTGGAGAATGTAGTTCTTTTGCAATTATCTAGAAAAGTTTAGATAAGGTTGTAATTATCTATTCCTTGCATATTTGTTATAATTTACTTATAAGCTAAATGGGACAGGTTATTTTTATTTGTTTATTTTTTTGGTGGGTTGATTTATAAATACTTATACAACTGTCTTGACATATATATTTGTATTTTCTATCTCCTTAGCAATTCAGTTGAATCATAACAACATCTGCTTATGCCTTCAATGCTTTCTTCAACAAGAAGGACCTTTTATAATTTCCCTTCATCAGGAGAATTTGGGGAATACAAAACATTCCAATGGAGTCGAAACAATTTGAATAAAATGAATTTGTATCTACATTTAATGTAAAATAAACATTGTTATACATAACCATTAATAATCAAAGTAGCAAAAATTGGCTTGGAACCTTTGAAATATATACGTTCAGGGATAAATACATAAGCTCATTTGACAATGTCACTCATCATTGAGCTATAAGTAAAAGGGAGGTATCTGGTTTGGAATCAGGGACAGATATGTGAAACACAGCTACAAAAAATACGAGCAGTGAAACAGCAAAGTCTGTACTACTGGTATATCACAAGGCTCACCTGGCTCACTGGCCAATGTTTATTTTTTTAATCAGTATTTTTGAATGAAGACCGTAGTGGTTCTATTCATAGCATTTACAGGTGAAAAGAATCATAGAACTGCAGGGAGACTGAGATGGGAAAAACATTAATCAATAAGATCTTGACATGCCAAAGCAATGGCTGAGACCTTCTAAGAAAAAGGTCAGTACTTACAGAAGACTAAAAAAAAAAAAAAAAAACCAACCAAAAAACAAAACTAACCACACAGAGTGTGGCAGAAGTTGCTAAATATGTACCCTTGAGTTCTGAATCAAGCTACTTGGCAAGTCTGCCACACTCATCGGTTTCTCAGTCATGTGCTACGAAGAGGAGTTGTTATTGTTCATCTTCCTCTTCCCCCAGTTTTTTGTTGGTTTCATCATCAAGCCATTTATCCCTGAGCTTTCTGTTACTTAAAGTGCTACTAACAACTGTTTTAGTGAAGTTGGACATCTTTTCATTTGATTATTGTTTTATAGCCCTTGCCTATTTTCCTATTGAACTAAGGAAAACTCTACGCTTCTCGTATTGATTTTTTTTAAAGATTGTATTTATTTTATTTGACAGGCAGAGAGAGAGAGAGAGAGAGGAATATGGAGAGGCAGAGAAAGAGATCTTTCATGCTTTGGTTCACTCTGCAAATGGCCTCATGGTCAAGGCTGGACTAGATTGAAGCAGGGAGCCAGGAGCTTCTTCTAGGTCTCCCATGTATGTGCAGGAGCCCAAACACGTGGGCTTTTCCCTGCTGCTTTCCCAGGTGCATTAGTAGGGAGCTGGGTCGGAAGTGGAGCAGCCAAGACTTGAACCGGCACCCACATGGGATGCCAATATCATAGATGGTGGCTCAACCCACTGTGCCACAGTGTTGGCATCAGCCATGGTCTTTATATTCTTTATTTCTTGAACTTTTTATATAGTGGGGCATTAAGCCTTTGACTATAATGTAAACTAAAAATATGTTCTCTCAAAACTAACAAAATGTTAAGTTGAAAAATGCTACTAACAAGTAAAGCAGGGTAATAATAGAACTTCTATTATGGGGTTCTTATGAGAATTAAATGATATAATGGACATAAATGATAAACACCATGTGTAGCATAAAGAATACATACATGAGATAAACTTTAGTCATTGAGCTATTATTGTCATTATTATAGTTGTTATCATCATTATGTGGATGACATCATCATATGAGTGTTTGTAAAGGTAAAAATATGGAAGAATGAAGATTAGGACCCTGTAAGTCAAAGGAGTTCTAAAAGCAAGAAAAGCTATAGGCAACAAGGAAAGAAATCTCAATGATGACCCTGAAGGCGGTCTGGCGGGGGATGTGAGAGTATAAAAACCTACTACTTGGAGACAGCAAGATCCCTCCGACCTTGCAACTCAGTGTGTGTTGGGCTCATGCGAGTGACAGTGCAGTTTTATAGTCACATCACTTCTGAAATTCTGAAATATGAGCCCAACCTTTTATTGGTCAAATTACTACCTATTTTATGGTAATTTTCATAGTGCCAGATCAAATAAACCGAGTCATTTGTTTATTTCAACCAGTTGCAGTGAATTTAGGAAGTGTACTTTGTATTTCAAAAGATTTCTTTGTCATTGAAAAAACATTAAAAAAAACCAAACAGATGAGCTAAGTTCTTGGCAGCTGTAAAGAGATAATTCAGGTTTTTTTTTTTTCATAAATCTGCGACTTGCAAGGCTGAGTATCATGGTTTTAAAATATGCTATGTGTATAAGTGTTCGTGGTTCCTGTAAAACCTGTTCCAAAAAGGTAGCCAAGGTGGTAAAAAAAAAGCAAAATTGTTTTTTCTGGGATTTTAGTAATTTTAATATCATGAATAAAGTGAATTTAGCAATTTAATCTTGTAGCTAAAGGCAATTAGAAGTAATACTGACTAGGACTGTGAATGAGCAGTCTTCAGAGGCGGATTACGGGATGAGTGACGTGTGTCCACTATCCTACTGGGGTTCAGAGTGGGCACCTGGCAGAACACTGCAGGGGAGGAAGGCAGTGCTGAGAACCTTCCTTGGGAGTGTCTGGCTCAATGAACAAAACCTCCCTCCTTGGCAGCCAGTCGGCATGTGGAGAACTGGAGGACTGAGTGTTGGTAATCTTGGTTCCAGGGTGGATGGCTGAGGCCAGGGAGGAAAGAGAGTTTTAGATAAAAGAGAATCATCTGCAAATTGGTAACACAGTTTGGCACTGGGAGCCAAGCAATCTGCTCTGGGGCCTCTCTGCCAAGGTACAACACCAAGGAGAAGGCCTGGCACTCTCTCCTCCTGCCATAGGCTGTCACGTGGACTGAGCAGGCTGAGGACAGGTGGACCAGCACAAAGATGCAGAGGCTGCCATCCTGGGAAGGGCAGCATGGCGTTCCCAGAGTGGAGCCCATCCCTGGGCCTTCCACAGGAGCAGCCTCAGCACCAACCAGCTCAGAGCAGTGCAGGAGGGGGGCATCATGACCACGTGCCATGCAGGATGCACGGACAGGTAGCAGCTTGGGCTCCTGGCCTGGCCTGCGTGTCTTTGGAAGACAGCACATACAAGATGTATGTGGGGACTCAACGAGACACTTGGGCTGGGAGCACTTGACAAGGAGTTGATGCTCCTTCTGAGCATGCTGGAGGGCTGTGTGTCAGTAACGTGTGGGCTGAGATACTCACGGACCTCGCGTGTTTTTATTAATACGGATTGGTGACACTTGGATGCATAGCAAATAATTCCATATATTGATCTCTGACCTCAAATACAAACAAACAAACATGGTTTCTGATAGACTTGGAACTAAAGGAAACAAGAGAAGACAAGGAGAATATTTTGCATGGACAACCTGACCTTCTCTTTCATCTCAATGTTGGACCTATGAACAGAGGTGCTCTGATGTGACCATCCAGACTAATATTTAACACACTTGTCAATCAGCTCCCAATTATGTTCACATTTAAGTCATTACTTGTTTCCCAGGGTGTTTTAGCTAAGAAAAGACATTTCTTGTAACTGAGAAGCAAAGGAAGAAGAGGTTTTCCATTTACCACTGACAGCAGAGGGAGTCTTCCCTCAGTATTAGAGAGAAGCTCTCCACAGCCGGTAGTCATGTGAGGTGGCCAGGAGCATAGAGAAGACAGTTCTCCGAATCGAGAGATACTAAGACAGAAGAGCACCTGCACCTCATTTAATGAGTCCAAGCGATGCATCTGCCAGGAGACGAGACACAGCCTCTGCCAGCCTGAATAAACCCCCACACACCTGCAAGTCAACCAACCGGTAGCCAAGTGCAAAAGTCAGTGTCACAATGCTCTAGACCTTGCTTTCCATAACTCATAAATGCTTCCTGAAAATGCTGTCAGACAACACCCAAAACACGACCCGAGCTCAGCCTTTGCACAGTACCTTGGAGTATGCTCTTGACTATGGCTTCTGTGTGGTCAGCCAGGAGATCCGCCTTGGTGATGGCGGCCAGGGACAGGTAATTAGACATGTTCCTGCACAGCTCCTTGTTGCCTCGGTGCAGGAATTTCACCGCGATGGGGATGGCTAATGCCATCACAGAGGGCCGGCTGTAATTCTGAGGAAACGCAAGAAGATAACAAAGTGAACCCTGGGAACACTTGCTGGAAAGCCTTCAAGGCTATCAGTTAGCATAGCTGATGAGGACCTGGGAGGCGGGGTGCAGGGGTCTCAGGGCAAAGGGAGCACAAAATGAACGCCTAACCCAGTCCAGACTTCCTGGAGGAGGCGGTGCTGTAGCTGGGAGCTGCAAGATGTGTGGGAGATGGCTGGATGATGGCAAGGTCGGAGAGGGAAGAAGGAAGAGCACGCGTGGCGGCAAAGGTGAGTGCATGGTGCACTGTGGATCTGTAAATGGTTCAGGACGGCTACAGTGTGGGATGTGCTGAGCACACTGGGGTGGTGGGGCGATGGAGCGATAGGCAGGGCAGGATAGTGGGAGGTCTGGCATGACAGGCTAAGGAGTTTGGAATCGATCTTTAGAGTAATCCAGAGTCACTGATGAGAGGAATAGCCATCAGATTTCTACTCAGGCAAACAATCAAAATGTATACAAAGTTGCTTTTTGATTGTATCTTTAAAACTAAAGGTTCAGCTAACCATATTCAGAAGAAAAAATAAACATAAGATTAAAACCTAAAGGAATTCTGGTTCTTAAAATAATCATCCCCTTGATTTATTTTGTGAATGAGCATAAATGTTTTTACCTATAAAATAGTGCTATTAGTACTTAATTGCTGACTTAGGGAATAATGTTTGAAAAACATCCACTGTTTTCTTAAAAACCCTACTCATTACCTCTAACTATCAACCACCCCTTAGGCCGACCACCTGGTAAAAGTTACACAGTGCACAATGTATGTGGGAAGCTGACTTGATATTATTATAAGTAAAATGTGATTGCTTTTCTCTAACTCTTTATATGAAAAGTGTTTGCTTTTTCCACTGCTGGGTTATGCCTTCCAGATCCTCTCAAAAGTATGGGCTTATTGTATGTCTTTAATAAACATCTGGCAAATTGAATAAGTAACAAAAGAATGTAAACTATTGTGCTAGCTGTCAGCTGAGAACATTACAGTGTGGGAAGGGCAGCCGATGGAAAAGCCAGACTTGGGATTCTAATCTCAGCTCTGTCACCATCTTGCTGGGTGACCATGGAGCTGCGACTCAGCCCTCTAGGCCTCATGTACAAGATGTCTATCACAACCTTTCCAGACAGTCTCAGATTCCAAAGCAGACGCAGCATCAAGCATCTGGCACAGGAGGACTCTCCAGGCTCTGGGCTTCTTGTGAAGAGAGTTGTCATGTTAAAAAAGCTTGCATTTAGGTAATCCCTATCTCGGCTTGGCTGCATCCCATGGAGAACACTGAAGAAACACCTAGAATGGTAGGCAAGAGTAGTATGACAGAAGTTACTCATTGCCACTAGCTACTCACTTCTTTCCCCTTCGACAGTATATTTCCTAAATTTCAGCTGATACATGCTCTAATATCTAAAGGCTGCATTTCTCAGCCCTCTTGACATTTAGATATGCTCATGTGTACAGTTAAGGCCACTGGCTAGAAGTGGCAGTGATGTGGGCAACCTCTAGGTTAGGTTACTGCTACCATAAAATGACTTGATCTCTTGGTCATTCTTTCTTTGATGCTGACTCAATGAGGATATAATAACAAAGACTAGAACAATTTCTTGGACCATGAGTAATATAGAGAAGAGAAAGACAGAAGGTGCCTAGGTTTGTGCACTGAGCCACCATATCAGCCCTGGATTGCTACCATTGATTTGGTCAGTGAGAGACAAATAAAGATGTATGTTATTTAACCTAGTGTTATTCTTAGACCTGTTTTATCGCAGCAGAGTCCATATATTGACCAACACAATGCACAGCCAGGACTACTTTTTTTTAAAGATTTATTTATTTACTTGAAAGTCAGAGTTACACACAGAGAGAAGGAGAGGCAGAGAAAGAAAGAGAAGGGTCTTCCATCTGCTAGTTCACTCCCCAGTTGGCTGCAATGGCCAGAACTGTGCTGATCCAAAGCCAGGAGCCAGGAGCCAGGAGCTTCTTCCAAATCTCCCACATGAGTGCAGGGGCCCAAGGACTTGGGCCATCTTCTACTGCTTTCCCAGGACATAGCAGAGAGACAGATTGGAAGTGGAGCAGCCGGGACTTGAATCAGTGCCCATATGGGATGCCAGCACTGCAGGCGGCAGTTTTACCTGCTCCGCCACAGCACCAGCCTCCAGGACTACTTTTATTTTTAAACTTTCCTCTGTATCTTAAAAAGATTATTACATGCTTAGATTGAATGGAGACTTTCACCTTTACTATGTCAACTCACATAATAAGGACAAAAGAAATGACATGAGTCAAAAATTGTCATGGATACAGAGAGTCCTTAAGCAATATTATGTCATCTTAGAAATGGGGCAGTTAGGCCAATTGGATATAACTATGGGATAAAAATGTATCTTGATCCCAATATCTGCCATAACAAAAATCAATTCAAGATGGATAACAGATCAAAAGGAGAAAAAAAACCAAACAATGGTGGAGAAGAAAATAGAAGGGGCTGGCACTGTGGCGTAGCAGGTAAAGCCACTACTGCAGCCAGCATCCCATATGGCTGCCAGTTCAAGTCCTGGCTGCTCCTCTTCTAATCCAGTTTGCTGCTGATGCACCTGGGAAAGCAGCGGAGAATGGCTGAAATGCTTAGGCCCCTGCCATCACGTGGGAGACCTGGAAGAAGCTCCTGGTTCTTGGCTTCGGACTGGGTGTTCTAGCCATTTGGGGAGTAAACCAACAAGTGGAAGATCTCTCTCTGCCTCTCCCTCTCCCTTTCTCTCTCTCTCTGTAACTCTGCCTTTCAAATAAATAAATACATCTTTAAAAAAAAGAAAATAGAACATGATGGCCTCAAGGGAGGCAAAGCTTTCCTTAAATATAACTAATAAAGTATTAAAGGAGAAAAAAATCATATAATGTAAAAATTATGGACTTTTCATCATAAATAGATATCATTAAGAAAGTGAGAAGATAGGGGTCAGCATTGTGGCATCGTGGGTAAAGCCACCGCCTACAATGCTGGTATCCCATGTGGGCCTTGGTTTGAGTCCTGGCTGTTCCATTTCTGAACCAGCTCCCTGTTAAAGGCCTAGGAAAAGCAGCTGAAGATAGGCCAAGTGCTTGGGCTCCTGCCCCCCACATAGAAGACCCAGATGAAGCTCTTGGATCCTGGTTTCAGCCTGGTCTAATCCTGGCCCTTGCAGCCATCTGGGGAGTGAACCAGCAGATGGAAGATGGCTCTGTCTCTCCCTCTCTCTGTAGCTCTTTCAAATAAATAAATAAATCTTTAAGGAAAAAAAAGTGAGAGGATAATCCAAAGACTGAGAGCACATATTTGTAAGATATTTGAAGAAGATATTTTTCTAATGAAAGTCCACTAGTACCCAGAGCAGATACCAAAAACTCTTTCAAATCAAAAAGGAAAAAACAGGCAAGCAAAGAAATAAAATAGCCAAGGGATTTGAACAGATACTTTACAAAAGAAGACATCAAAATGTCTCAAAACATGAAAATATGACCAATTTAATTCATCATTAACTTGGTCTGGATTTTGTTTATAGGGTTGTGTTTGGTGAGAATTCATTAGGATATGATATGACTGCTTTCCGGGAGAAGAAGTATAATCATATAATTTCAAATTTGTTATTTTTTTTAAAGTGGGCTCAAAGTTAGGTTGGTATGGCACATTTAGCCTGGCAGCTCATGCGTCAGTAAAGATGCCCCCATCCCCTATCACAGTGGTTGCATTTGATACTTGGTTCTGGCTCAGGACTCCAGATTCCTGCTATTGCAGACTCCGGAAGGCAACAGGGATGACCCAGGGTAGTGGGTCCTTGCAACCCTTACAGAAGACATAGATTGCATTCCCAGCCCTGGACTTTTGTGGATGATCCTGTACCTGGCAGGGAGTCTTCCTGCCCTGTCCATACGGGAGAATGAGAGGGCATGGCACACAATGCCTCCTGGGAAGAACCCCACAACCTGAGTGCTGGCAGGCAGTGAGAGCCCCAGGCACATTTCCCCCACCCCTACTCCCTGTTAAAGGGCCCTGTGATTGCCAATCAGGTAAACAGCTCCCAGTGTGGCCCAAGTCCATCAGGACACCTGGAAAGCTACCTTAGCTACGTGACCTTCAAGCTGATTGGAGAAATATAGCGGCACCAATATTGGCTCTATCCTATAGAATTAATGTTGCCTTGAATTAGCTACACCCCTCTGCCTGCCCTTTAAAAGGTGTGCTTTGTTGTTAATAAACAGACATGTTCACCGAGACTTGTCTCCAGTGCTTCTTGTTGAGGAACACCGTCGCCACCCTCCCCCCCATCCCAACAGTGTGGACCCTACAGGATGAGGCTGCAGACTTTGACCTGGCCCAGCCCCAATCATTGAGGGCAAGTGGGGGGTATACCAGAGGATAGGAACTCTGTCTGTATGTCTGTTTCTTTTTTATTTTTATTTTTATTTCTTTTCTTTCTTTTTTTTTTTTGACAGGCAGAGTGGACAGTGAGAGAGAGACAGAGAGAAAGGTCTTCCTTTGCTGTTGGTTCACCCTCCAATGGCTGCCACGGCAGGCACATCGTGCTGATCCGGAGCCAGGAGCCAGGTACTTACCCTGGTCTCCCATGGGGTGCAGGGCCCAAGCACTTGGGCCATCTTCCACTGCACTCCAGGGCCACAGCAGAGAGCTGGACTGGAAGAGGAGCAACCAGGACAGAATCCGGTGCCCCAACCAGGACTAGAACCCAGTGTGTTGGCGCCGCAGGCGGAGGATTAGCCTGTTGAGCCGCGGCGCCGGCCAATGTCTGTTTCTATCATTATGCCTCTCAAAGTTTTTAAAATAATAATAAAAAAAGATTTTTAAAAAGCTTGAATACAGGACTAAATATTTTCTCAAGTATAAACAACCTGTGTCTTAGGGTTCTGTGAATGACAATGACATACAGTAGTGGACTCAATGCATCTGGGAGGGTAAATAAAGGCTGATGATATC